TGCCGGGGTGGAAGCGCTTGCTGAGAGTAGCTTGCCGAGGCGAGGGAAGAGCTAGCAGGGAGCCGAGGGTAACAGCACAGTCCTGGCTTGCATTCTTGGATTTGGACACGGATCGTTCCGATGGGAGAGAGCAATGTTTTAGAAGGGACGCTTTGCATTTCCCTCTCCAGTGATCCTGCAGTTGTGTGGTGCGGTAGCGGTCGACTAGTGCCTTATGTGCGTACTCCAGGTTATAAAACCAGCGTGCGTGTCAGTGTTGAGGAGCTGCAGCAGTGTGTGTGTGTGTGTTGTGGCCTTATATCTTACGTGTGATGCCCCTCAGAAGGAAGTAACATTCTAGATTTGATGGGCTCTTCAGCAGATCTAGCAAAGCTCTTTGGTGCAAGGGCTGATGAGTGAGTGAGTGAAGGGGAAACAATTTTTAGGTATTTGAGTTGAGGGGGAGCAGCCCATTCTAAGACTTATCTTTTCAATAATTATGTGCTGTCAAGTGAGCCTTTTCCCATTCTCTAGTTTCCAGTTACTTACAATAGTGAGATCAAATGGCTTGTAAAGTGGCATAATTGTTCTAAGCATCCTCTGTGTGGACTACATCTTGCTAATAGGATGTTTTGGTTTGGGGCTTATGGATGACAGGCTGAAGCATCTCCGTATTCTCTAATTGACATCTGCCTGAATGCCTTGGTTGCTGATTTAGAAAAGTTCTGTGTAGAGAGACCAGATGGGTCGTTGTGCCTGAAAGAATATGCAAGGCTTCCTCAAGAAGTGTCTGATCGATTGCTGCAGACAATGGCTTACCGAGGTAAGAGTTATTACTGTGCCAGCAGTATCAAAGTGTTTGGCACTAATGTTCTGAACAGTGGGTTATTCAAAAACAGGAACATAATGTTCCATATATATTGTACATCTGTGCTCTGGAGACTCAAGAACACTTGTAGCTGCAATGCATATATCTCTAAAGTTAGAATATCATAAAGGTTTTGCATGCATAAATGAATAAAGATTGAAATACTGTATGTCTTAGTCTGTATTGCCATGTTTAGATCAAAGCTGTCGTTCCCTTTCTTCCCTCTCTTTCCATTAGGATAAGCAAAAGTGAAATTAATTATGTATATAAAAGGAAATTTGTTTAACTTGCATGCTATTCACTTTTTGCAAGAAGGTGAGGAGTTGATAAATATATAGTCCTGATTATTTATTTAAATGCCTGTGATCCACTATGCAACTGGGAAATGACTGACTCAATTTTAGTAGATTATTTGCTCTGATACTTTTTTCTTTCTTTCCTAATAGAGCTGTTGAACGATGGCACAGTGGGCATTTTCCAAGGCAACCAAATGCGCTTGAAGCAAGCTTGCATCCGCAAAGCAAAAATCTCAGCCCAGTCGTTCAAGAAGGCCTTTTGCCATCATAAACTGGTAGAACTTGATGCTGCAGGAATAAATGACGCTGTTACTATAGCTGATGTTGTAAGTGGGCTGGGCAGTAGTACATGGATCCAGAACAACCTTCAGTGCCTTGTCTTGGACTCGTTAACTGTTTCTTCTACAAATCCTTATGAAAGGTGCTTCAGTCAGTTGTCTGGTCTTCGGTCTTTGAGCATTACCAATGTGTTGTTCCATGATGAGGATCTAGCTGAGGTTGCTTCCTTGCCAAAATTAGAAACTCTGGATATATCTAATACCTCTGTCACAGACATAACTGCGCTCCTTACCTGCAAAGATCGTCTCAAGTCTCTAACTATGCACAGTTTGAAATGTTTGAAAATGTCTACACCAAAGTTCTTAGATGTCATACGAGAGCTAAAGTATCTGATTCACCTTGACATCTCAGATGAGCAGCATTCCACGTCAGATATTCCCTTTCACTTGCTACAGCAAAAAGACATTCTCCCCAACCTTGTTTCTTTGGACATTTCTGGAAGTAAATACATTACTGATGAAGCTGTAGAAGCATTTGTAAAACAGCGGCCAAGGATGCGATTTGTGGGATTGCTTTGTACGGATGCTGGATACACAGAGTTCCTTTCAGGAGAAGGAACCTTGAAGGTTTGAATTTTTCAGGTGTTCTATTACTACAGTGGTAGTTGGCATTTAGTTTAGTACCTTGCTTATGTTTTTGGACTAACAAAATCAACACGGGCAAATTTAATTATACTTAAGAATTAAATAAAAAATACATTTGAAAAGCCAAGAGCTCATTTCTATCAGTGCGTAAGATTTTCATTCATGACCTCAACCTATGAACCAGTTAAACCAGGTGCTGGGTGGAAAACTAGATGATTTCCCCTCCACCCCCCCCCCACAGGAAGTTGATTTACCTTCAAAAGTAATCATGTGGCTTCTTGCACCTATGAAGAAGAGGGCTGTACTACTCCTGCATTTCCTGCCTTTGGCATGGGCTGGTCCTAGCTGCCTCTGCTATAAAGGCAATGTTTTTAGCAAAAACAACATCTCACCCAGAGAGCAGTGAGAGCTTGCTTGGCAGGAAAGTCTGCTGCATTGGAGAACAGGACTTTTTCTATGTTTGTGCATGCATGTGTGCACTGCTTAGGGTTCAGTAAAAAGTAAAGTAAAACCAAGTGGGCAAAAGCTACACAAGAAACTCTGGGAGGAAGTAGCACCTGTTGAAAAATGTTCAACTTATGTTCAAAATGTTTTATCTGAGGCTTCTGGTTAGGCCCAGGCTTGTCTTCACTTAGAAGGGATTTAGTTTCATCAAAAGTGTCAGTGGTTTTAGTGGGACTGTTTCCTGGGCTTATTCAATGGCTGAAATCCTGTTGTTTAATATAGGAAGTTGGAACTAGAATAGGCCCATTTGAATCAGTGGAACTTACAGAGGAGTTGACTCACCAAATGCTCAGTGATTCAATGGGCCTACTCTGGTGCAATTTACTATACATAGCAATAAGATTTCAGTCAATATATTGGATGTCTTGTAGCTTCAGAAGAAATAAAGGTATTCCACTCATGCATGCACACCTCATTTCAGAAATGATAGATACTTGTAACAAAAATGTAGGTTAGGTTTCTGTACTTGCTGTATCTCCCAAACATCTAAACCAGTGGCTCCCAACCTTGGGTAACCGAAATGTTATTGGGCTGCAATTCCTGAAAACCTTCACCGCTAGCTGTGTTAGCTGGGGTTTCTGGGAATTTCAGTCCAAGAACACCTGATTACCGAAGGTTGGGAACCATCAATCTAAACAATGTTGCTGTGAGAATATGTCATCAGATTCATTATACTGCTGATTTAGACATGAAATAAAAATTCTAAGCAAACTGAAAAAAACCTGAACTCTTTGCATGTTAAAAGGTGGCTGGAGGAGAGAATGAAACACAGATTTTAGAAGCCTTGAAACGCTACAGTGAGAGGGCATGCTTTGTCAAGGAAGCCTTCTTTCATCTTTTTACTCAGACATGTTTTATGAGAATTACAAAGCCTGAAATCCTAAAGGTAAGAAACAAATCCTGATGGGAATGACTTGCATTTTCAGATTGTGGGGTGATTTGATCATTATCATCCACTTGGATCATTTTTGTTGCCAAGTGAATCTGTTATTCCTTATCTGTACCTTAAAATATGTATTTTTACCTAAGTTTGTTGTTCTTGCATTTCATGGTGTAGCTGGTGATTATTGGAATGAGGAATCATCCTTTGGACTTGGCTGTACAGTTAACTGCCAGCGCATGTGCCCTTAACTTAACCAGGCAAGGCCTAGCAGCAGGCATGCCTGTTCGCCTTCTCTCCAGTGTGATTCAGTTACTCCTCAAAGCCATGGAAACCTTTCCTGAACAACAGCAGGTAAGAATGTGAGATTCAAGAAGCCTAGTATGGGCGTAATGGTTAGAAAAGGCCTGTGAACCACCTAGGTGTTCCTCCTTCCAGGGTTCCATTTTTATCTTAGAAATTGCTTTATATCTGTTTCCCTGATGCTGGATTATCTCTGATATAAAGGCAGAGCTTGTAAAGGTTACTTTTTTGCACTGTAACTCAAAATCCGCCACTGGCATACAGGATTTCAGTGATCTAGACTGTTATTCTTGCATATGAAGTTAATCACATCTAACAAATATGAATTCCTGAATCACATTTTGTGACTAGCTGTAGCAATTAGAGGCCAACATTCTCTTGTAGAGTATCCCTCATAGTGGTGGAAATCCTGTTGCTTTAACTCAGCCAAGTAAGGCTGATGATGTCATCAGCAGCTGCAATATTTTAGAAATTAACAATTTCAAGACCTACTCCCCTTTCCCGTTAGGTGCCAAGGCTGCCTTTGGATCCCTTTTATTATGGGCCACAGGACAGTGGATGTTTTTTATTTCTGAAATTGGGAAACAGTTTCCAGAAATTAAAGACTTCTTTCCTTCCTGTGTCCCCGTCAAAGACTTCATCACAATAAAAGAAATTCCAGTTAACCTTCAGGACCTTTTGGAAGGTCGGGTTGTTAATTTGTAATTTCAAAAAACTGCTGCAGCTCATGACAGCAGCCTTAGGCAGTGTAAACTAAAGCAACCGGATTTCAGACAGTGGCAAATTGCCCCTAATGAGTCACACTTTGGTTCCTGGTCACATGGTGAACTACCTGACTGGTGCATGATGAGGAATCAAAGTGGCAGCTTGTTAATTAGCCTCAGTATGATGCTTTGAGTCGTGTCAGTGACCTTCTGCCAGCATAATTTGGTTGTTGTTGTTTTTTTAATGTACAGTTGCATGATGTTCAACTTTCTCTGTCCCCTTACAGCTCCAGAAGAACTGTCTTCTTTCATTATCTAGTGTAAGGATCTTGCAGGATGTTCCATTTAACAGGCAAGTAACCCTCTAGTTGGATTCTATACTGTAATGGCTTAATGTGACTTATAAAAGGCTTCATTTTAGCAGTCTTCTGTGAGTCACATTGAGCTGCTACAGCCAACACAGTTGGTGGTCTTTTCCCTATCTCCCACCTTATTTAAAACTCAAGGATCTGTCCTTTTTACTGTGCCTACTCTGAAATACATGTGGAGCACTACTTAACTTCTATTTCCCTGACTGTTGGAGTGCACGTCTACATAAAATACAGTGATGATGAAAGGGATGCTCTACTTAAAACATAGTGATGATGAAAGGGATGCTTTACTAATATTTGTCTTTCACTATGACTTGTTGAAGTACTACAGAAAATACTGTGACAATGCTTTCAAATTGCAGGTTCGCAGCTGCCAAATTTGTTGTACAATGGCTATGTAACCAGGAAAATCAACATATACAAAGGATTGCTGTTAATATCATATCTATCCTAGCTCTTAAGGTATGTGGATTTTCCATTTAACCTGATGCTTCTTTATTTTCACAGTATGTCTCAGAATTTTTTTTGTAACTTCTGCATGATTTTCAGCTTTCAGACGAGCAAGCTGCACAGCTTACTGCAGAGTTCTACATTGTTGTTGGGGTGAGTCATTGTGTGCCTGTTCCTCTAACATGGAATTGTAAATATGTGAAGGAAGGGCATGCAGAGAGAATGCTATGCTGTAATTTGCATTTTCCATACACTTATACTGCAGTGTTTATTAATGGTGTTGTCCTTTTCTATAGAAACTTCTTGAGATAGTTGAACAGAAGACAAATCAGAATGAATTGGACACAACTTTTCATTTTACTTTGAGTGCACTGTGGAATCTCACAGACGAATCTCCAACTACTTGTAGGCATTTCATTGAAAACAAAGGGCTGGAGCTTTTCATGCGCGTTTTAGAGGTAAACATGGGAGTTGTCTTTCTGATCAGTTGATAAATGGAATCCTACTTAAGCTTAGTAGTAGTAATTATGTTGATTTCTGTCCACAGACCTTTTCATCTGACTCTTCTATACAACATAAAGTTCTTGGCCTTCTGGTAAGATCAGAATCAAGCATAGTCTGTCTGAATTATTTGTATAAATTTATTGTAGTTTTTAAAAAGTATATGTTTTATGATTAGGTTAATTTCACCTGCTCTTCTGTTCTTCAGCCTTTCTGAAAAGGTAGTTTTCTTTACACCTTCCATGCCTTGATTGGTACTTTCAGTTTGACAAAACACTGAAAAATCTAGCTCTTGTTCTTGGTTTGAAATGTGTGGCAATTCTCAAGAAAACAACAGGCTATTAAATGTTGGTCCATCCTTCTTTTGAAGTTACGCCCTTTAACAACACTCAGGTAATTTACCACCAGTGATGTACTTTTTCCCATAATTTTCTTTTCTTTCCTCTCAGAACAATGTAGCAGAAGTGAGAGAACTACATTCCAGATTAATGCAGAAGGACTTCATAGATCATGTTAATGAATTACTGAACAGTGGTGAGATTGAAGTTGGTTACTTCTCAGCTGGGATTGTCGCCAATTTGCTATCCAGGGGCGAACAAGCTTGGACACCGAGTCAAACACAGAGAAGATCTCTTATTGAAAAACTGGTACAATGAACTAAATTCTATAATTCCTTTGGGTATTTGCAAGACCGATCAAAATGTTGACACCTCACCTTCTTTTCTTTCTTCCTTTCTTTTTTAAATAACAGCACTCGGCTGTCCTGAAGTGGCCAGCACCAGAATGTAAGATGGTAGCCCTGCCAGCCTATAGGTATGTTGTTGTTGTTTTTTAAATATACATATATTGGATAGCATGTATTGGATTGCTTATTAGGGAATCTTACAGTGAATATTTTTCAAAAAGAAATAGCCACAGATGTGCAAATTGAACTGAGCAGGGCAAGAAATACAATTTGGTTCTCTGATGTGGGTATGTGCTGTCCCATAACTTTTTAAATGAATAACTAATCATACTTCCCTCTTGGGAACTGGGCTAACTGCAGTCTACTTTGAAAGTGAAGCATAGTTATAGTGAAAGTGTGTGTGTGCAGACCTGGAGAGGTGGAGCTGCAGTGCTATATTTAATGTCAGCTACCAAATATTGTGCAGTCTGGTGTGTGTACCCAAAGGTGGGTCTCCAGGGTGCAATAGGAGTCCTGTTGTACCACTACTCCACTGTTTGATAGGCTGCTTTCCTGAGGTAGACAAGATGATCTTGGTTGGGGTGGAGAGCTTTACCTCCACACCATCATCTCATCCAGAAAATCAGGTGCAGAGTATGCCTTGCAGAATGAATAGGGTTAGAAACTACCTGGGAAAGACCTGTGACTGTCATGGGGGACCTGAAGTCCTGGGCCACTCCTGACAAAGTGGTCTTACTATGGATCTTGAGCACCCCCAGCACTAACACTGTTTGCTCTGAAGTCCTCAAGCACCATAGTTAAAATGATGAACTCACTTGGGAAGCATACGGTTGCCTTTGAAAGTGGAAGATGGTGCACCCCAGAATTAATTATTCTGCCTATGACCAGGGTATTTATTCATTTATTATTTCAACTCATACTTCAACACTCTCTCAAAACTTGTTGCTTGTGTTAATAAAGTGATTTGCTATTGTCATTTTGAAAATTGATTTCTTGTGCCTGTGTTCCTCATCACTGCCCCCCTGCCTTGTATACTTCTGCATTAACTGGAGGCTAGATGTTTCAGTTCATGTGTCTGAGCAAGTGGATTGTAAGCTATGAAAACTCAAAGTGAAGTAAATATGTTAGTCTCTTAGGTACCAAAATAGCTTTGTTTTGTTTTTTTAATTTGTTTTATTGTTTTACTTGTTGAAACAGATTAACCCTGCTATTTCTTTGAAAACTAAATACATTGTTGGGAAGCAACATGGAGCATGGGCTCATATTGGCTGCTCTTAATTTCTGCACCATGATAAAAATACCCATGGTATTTTTGTTTTGTGATAAAATAAGGAGTACATGTTTCTGTGAACCAGTTTGTCATTAATCATTTTAAAGGGTGCAGCTGACTTTTTACTGTTGATTTGACCGTGCAGCAGTCAAAGAACAAGTTACAGTGGTGTCCCGCTTAACGATTACCCCGCTCCATGACAAATCCGCTTAACAATGAGGTTTTGCGATTGCAAAATGATGTTTAAATGGGGAAAATCCACTTGACGATGATCAGTTCCCTGCTTCGGGAACCGATTTTTCGCTAAACGATGATCTAAAAACAGCTGATCAGCAGCTCTCAAAATGGCTGCCCGCTGTGCAAAATGGCTCCCAGCTGTGTGTTAAGGATGGATTCCTCGCTATACAGACACCAGAAAATGGCTGCCCTATGGAGGATCTTCGCTGGATGGTGAGGCATTTCGCCTATTGGAACGCATTGAACGGTTTTCAGTGCATTTCAATGGACTTTCTACTTTCGCTTGACAACGATTTCGTTTCTTGCTGGAATGGATTATCATCGTCAAGCGAAGCACCACTGTACTCAACTTCCTATTATTATTTTTTTATCCGTTGGTCCTGTTAAGTGGCTCTACAACTCCATGCTCTTGATGCCACTTTGTTGGTTTGTACCATTTCATAAGGTTTCAGATCCAATATGTGTTCAATTTGGGGGTCACAACAACTCACAACAGCTCATGTTTCCCCCACGAGATAGTTACATGCTAGACAATTGTTTGTACAAGAGCAACTCTGCCTAATGAGGTCCGAAGCAAATTTTGCGTTCAAATTTGTTTCCCACTCTTTATAGTGACCTTTCCACAACACATGACCACTACAAAGAGATACCATTTGGAATGTTTGAAGTGTTTAATCCAAATTCCATGGCATTACTCTGTCATTTTTATGATTAAGGACTTAGTTGCGTATGTGCCAGTATATGAGAAATGACAGCATATTGAATTCTGAAATGACTGATAAATATGCATGCAATTCTTCAATCCATAGATCTCTCAGGCCATTTTACCCATTGCTTGACTGCTTTGCATTACCTGGAGTACAAATCTGGGCCGCTTGGGCCATTCTGCACATCTGCTGCAAAACCCGTACGTATTCAGTTTGTAATATGTATTTTATTTTCAAGTTCGTTTTTTAAAAGTCTGTTTAAATATATCTCTTTGTTTGTTTAAGCTCAAAGCAAAAATGGTTAGGCCTCATCTAGAATACTGTGTCCAGTTCTGGACACTTCACTTTAAGAAGGATGCTAACAAACGAACAAGTTCAGAGGAAGGCAACACGGATGATCAGGGGACTGGAAATCACACTGTGAGGAGAGATTGAACTGGGTATGTTTAGACTTGAGAACAGAAGACTGAGGGAACATATGACAGCACGTTTCCAATACTTGTAGTCATACAGAGGAGGGGCAGGATCTGTTCCCAATCATCCCAGAGTGCATTGGCTCAAGCTACAGGAAGCCAGATTTAGGCTGATTATCAGGAAAAACCTCTTAACTGTGAGAGCAGTATGACAGTGGAGCCAATTACCTCAGAAGGTGGTGAGAACTCTTAACATTGGCAGTATTCAAGAGAAAATTGGACAACCATCTCTCAGATCTGATTTGATTTAGATTCCTGCTTTGATCAGGGGGTTGGATTTGATGGCTCTATAGGTCCCTTCCAACCCAGTTATTCTCTGGTTCTATGAAATCTTACGTGGCTTATTGCAGTGTGTAATGTGCTGCTCTTTGTGCCACACTGTAAAGTAAATGTTTTCTATTAGTTGAATTGTGTATCTAGAAAACCCAGGCCTTGGATTAGCAAAGTGAACTCAATATTCCTTCAGCTACTGTATATCCTAAACTTTGGATCTTTGATGCAAAACACAATGACAAATTCTTTCAAAGCCAGAATCTTTTTGATGAAGAACTGTCCACTGTGTCTGAAGCTGAGGACTTCTGCTTATAGTTGTACAGTAAAGTGAGGGGTTAATGGGAGCAGATGTATCTACTATCTTGAATTGAGAAGACAGATTCAGTGAATTTATATGAAAAATTAATACTAGTATTACAAATATTCATACTGTATCTTTTGGTGAACAAACTTTTATTTCTCCCCAGCTGCCAGATACTGTGCCATGTTAATAGAAGAAAATGGGCTACAACATTTATATAATATCAAAGAAAATGATCAAAGTGATCCAGATCTCCAAAATTTTACAGCTGAGATATTAACGTATGTGGACACACACATGAAATATTATGGAAAACCTAAACACCTAAAGGAGTCGCAAGCCAAATCAAATGGATAACAGAAGACACGTGTACTTTCATGCTATTGTTTTCACAAGCTAATCTGTGGCTTTCTTATCCTCTTGGTTATTTGTGACCCTGATGGCCTTTCCTGTAAGATTCGAGGATACTTGTATGGTGTGGACAATTAAAAGTTTTCCACCCATTCATTTCTAACTTACCTTGTGATGGGGAAACGGGGCATCATCTCTAGACAAAAGTGCTCAGTAATCCAGTATATATGGCTTAAAAAGTCTGACATTTATAAGCCACCAGTCTTTATAGTGGAAATCAATGACACTGTAAATAGAGACTTAAAAACAACTTCAGGGAATGTTTCATCATTATCCATGTGCGTTAACAGCTAATTCAGCATTGCTTATAATTGTGAAGATGAAATAAGATTGTTTAGCTGTACTGGTTCAAAATGAAACCAATGTTTTTAAATCACCACTGATGGGGAAGACGATGTCTTTGAAATCACCGTGTTCCCTGCTCCCCTGGTGTCCCTTCAGCAATGGAGCACCAGTTTGTTGAAGTGAAATGTTGAATTAACCTACAGGAGGTCATTGGGACAGTCCCCAGCTTTCATGAACTCCATTTCTAAGTGGTGATTAGATACTTTCTAGAAAGGAAATTCTGGATGCTAGATCCAATACAAGGAACACTGTAACTGCATTGTGTTGGAAGTGTATATACAAACTATTTTTATATGGAATCTTTTAGGCTTTTCATATCTAAAATAAAAGGCATGTCCATTGATGGCACTGAGAGTGGACTGCGTGTTTTTACCTTCATGACACTAGCGTTTACAGGTGATACTGAGGCTATGCAAGGGGTCACAGTTGCATTATTGTCAAGAGAAAGAAACTTACAGAAAAATAGGCTGACTTCAGAGAAATTAAACTCATACAGTATAGGTCCAACTTGAAACCAGTGAGGGAATGTTTGAATTAAACTAGATATTGTTATACATTGGGGTACATGTGGAAAATTGTTCCTCTACATGGAGCTCTGAGGTAGAAGTAACCCCTCTTTTTGTTTTTCTCCCCACACACACACACAGAGTGTGGAAGTGATTTTGGAGGGGCAGGCATGGGCAGTGAAGGATGAGGCTCTATATCCTCAAGATCTGCTTTTAAATGGCAGCCTCTTCATTTCATTGAAAATTAACATGGTTTACACTTAAAGATACTGCAGTTTCATAGCATTCAGGTTTAGCCTTTGTTCATCAACAGAAGGGGAAAAAGTCTAGTAGTTGGCTAATGTTTTCTCTCTAACCCATACTACAGGTCATTAGTACATCTACATTTTTCCAAACTGAGCATGCCAACGAACATGTGCCACTTTTGTTCTGTACAAACCATGCAGAGAGCAAGTTTGTGTCACGTGGAACTGGCATATTTATGTTTTGGCATCATTTATTTGACCCAACTCCGGGAGGCAGTGGGAGACAGGAGGGCCTGGTGTACTCTGGTCCATGGGGTCACAAAGAGTCAAACATAACTAAACAACAACAACCTTTTGTTGACATTAACAGTTGCTCATGTGAAACAAACATAAGGACCTAGCCAAAATATTAAATAGCTGTTTTTGCCTGCAATCCATTCTGGTTTCACAGACCAAAAAGAGTTCTACCCACTTGATTTTCAGTTGTTCAATGGCTATTTTTTATTACCTTTGTAGATGTGAAAGCGACCATCCCTATGATCTTACCCAATGGAAAGTGTTTCTCATTTCAAATGTATTGAAGGATGGATGCTCCCTCCAGAGATCTATTGTTTCTCCTCTCAGGCTGAGTGTATGTACTAACAAGCTTCTCTAAAAAAGGAGGACTCTTACCTAAGATTCCAGTAAATGCCCTCTGTCAGCCTGGATGGACATTAGAAAAACAAAGCCTGTGTGGGTATGGTAACGAACACCAAGCACCAATAATAAAGCAAAATAATTTTCTTAGCTTCTTTATTTCTAATAAAATACATGCAACATAAAATGTTTTACTTGCAAGCAAGGAGAGCCTTCCCAAAAAAGGTGCTATACTATGTTTAACTGTATCTTCTGGTCATCAGCTGGAAATATACTGCACTCAGATGAACGCCAGTATCCTGCTGGGGTTTTCCACAGGAACAGTTAACACTGTGGAAACAGTTATGCTATTTGGTGAGGTGTTTGGTATGTGACTGGTTGTGCAATAGACAGCTCACCAAATAGTGTGAATGTTTAGCTTTGGTTGTGTACGTCGAAATCCCAAACAAGTACAGGCAAATTACCTGAAGTCCTTTTATCAATATAATCTACATTATTATTGTTTTGCTGTTATGCTTTCTATAGAGTATAAAAGACAAATGCAGTACATTTCCTGAATATAAAGTTTATGTAGAAAAATATTCCTAAGGCACGGCCTTCTTGGAGTTGTCTTCAAGCCATCTGAAAAAGGCTGACATATCACTTTCCGATGAACTTGGGCAGTCGTTTCTCTATGAAAGCAGCCATTCCTTCTTGGCGGTCTCTTGTTGGGATATTCTATATTTAAAACATGAGAAGGCACCATTTAATATTATTTTCTAATCTTCACCATCTTCGGCATGTATCGAGGTATCCCATGCCTTCTCTTTGAAAAGCATCTGAATACAGTCGTGCCCCGCTTAATGATTACCCCGTATAACAACGAATCTGCTTCACGATGTTTTTGCGATTGCAACTGCGATCGCAAAACGATGTTTTAAATGTTTTTTTTTTTCACTTTGTGAAGATCGGTTCCCTGCTTTGGGAACCAATTCTTCACATTACGACGATCACAACAGCTGATCGTCGGGGTTTCAAAATGGCCACCAGGTGCTCAAAATGGCTCCCCGCTGTGTTTTTGGATGGATTCCTCGCTGTATAGGCACCAAAAATGGTCACCCCTATAGAGGATATTCGCTGGACGGTGAGTTTTTCAGCCCATTGGAACGCATTGAACGGTTTTTAATGTGTTTCAATTGGCTTTTTTATTTCGCTTTTCCGTGTTTCAATTGGCTTTTTTATTTTGCTTTTCCATGTTTTCGCTGGAACGAATTAACGTTGTTAATCGAAGCACCACTGTAATAGGTGTTGAGTGTAGCTTAGAATCATAGAAAAGTGAAGTTGGAAGGTGTCTGTAAGGCCATCAAGTCCAACCCCCTGCTCAATGCAGGGATACAATCAAAACATATTTTCCAGGTGATTATCTAAATTTTTCTCGAATGCCTCCGGTGTTGGAGCACTCACCAACTCCTGAGGTAACTGGTTCCACTGTCGAACTGCTCTAACTGTTAAGATGTTTTTCCTGATATTCAATCGAAATCTGACTTCCTTTAACTTGAGCCCATTCTTGCGTGTCCTGCACTCTGGGATGATCTTGCTATTCCTCTGTACAGTGGTGCCTCGCGCAACGGGTGCCTCACACAACGATTAATTCACACAACAATGCCTTTTTCTGTTAAATTTGCCGCCTCACACAACGATGTTTCCTATGGGGAATTTTCACACAACAATGCCTCTTTTTCGCTCCTGTAAAAGTGTCTTACAATGTTTGGAACCTGTTTTAAATGCTTGCAATGGTTAGCCCACCTCCTGAAACCTATGCAAACTTATTTTGGTGTTGTTCTGACACTTCGTTAATTTGTGGCGATTTTTTGTTTTTCCCCTCATTGAAATGCATGGAGTTCAATGAGGGGAAAAACAAAAAATCACCACAAATTAACGAAGTGTCAGAACAACACCAAAATAAGTTTGCATAGGGTTCAGGAGGTGGGCTAACCATTGCAAGCATTTAAAACAGGCTTCAAACAGTTTAAGGTACTTTTTAATGAGTGAAAAGAGACATCGGAAAGAGCTTTAAAAGGGAAACGGAGATCAAAGAGCTCTTTCCGATGCCCCTTTTCACTCATTCCAAACATTGTAAGACACTTTTACAGGAGCGAAAAAGGACTTCGCAAAGCCATTGAAATGCATTGAGTCGGCTTCAATGCATTTCAATTGGGGAACCGGGTTTCACTCAACAATGTTTCCTATGGGGATTTTCGCTCAAGGACGGCAATCCGTTCCAATTGGAACAGATTAACCAGTTTTCAATGCATTCCTATGGGAAATGGTGTTTCACAGAACGATGTTTCACACAACGTTGATTTTTTTGGAACCAATTAACATCGTTGTGCGAGGCACCACTGTATTTCAAATATTTGAAAAATGCTCAGTCTCTTGTTCCTACTCTTTTACTTCCCAATCAAACTATCTTAACAGAAAAATTGAGAGAAGTATACAATCTCAGGTTTTCAAACTGATTCCAATTTTGCTAGTTATTTTTAATGAGCATGTAGTTCCTCTGAGGGTAAGATACACAATTTCCTTGTATTAATCAGAGTTGAAGCAGTCAGAAAACTGAAGCATTTCATTGAGTTTCTGAAGGTCAGCAAGCAGCAAGGTGATCTTCAGAAACAGTTGTACAGCAAAAAAAACTTTGTATTTAGAAAGTGTACCTTTTTTGGATAAATGTATTTTAAATGAAGCCTACCTGGGCATAACACATTCTTTCAATAGCCATTCCAGAGGCAATATCCACCTGAAAAGGAATTGGAATCTTATTCGTCTGCTACAAGTAAAGCAGTAACACTCAACAATTTCATATTTACTGCACTATGACTTAAATAAGTAGTGTTCCTTGATAGTTTTGATGAGATGCCAGGGAATGTTTTGCTCTTAGGTTTAGTTTATCATGGAAAATCCAGGAGATTGGATGACATTTGTACAGGATACTATAATCTGATCCTTTCTTCCCTTCTATCCCTCTATGTTCCCCACCTCCTTTCTCCCCCTCCATATAGCATTTAGGTTTTTAAAATTCCTAACACCTAAAAAAAGCCACGGCTTCCAGTGGTCTAAGCCAGTGGTCCCCAATCTTGGGCCTCCAGATGTTCTTAGACTACAATTCCCAGAAGCCTTCACCACCACCTCTACTGGCCAGGATTTCTGGGGGTTGAAGTACAAGAACATCTGGAGGCCCAAGGTTGGGGCCATTGCTCTACGAAGTGATGCACAAAGTTGGCCTGAACACATGGGGCAAGTAAGTATTAATTCTTCTCACACTAGATATGACTGCCCCATTTCCCACAGAGGCGTTTTTTAAAAAAACTATCACTGCACAGCCCAGCTGGTTTTTTAAAGAGATGGTTGGGAGGTGTACTGCAGACTAACATACCGCAGCTACCTCATGAATCTACCTAAAACAAACCCAATATAATTTTGTGTTTTGAGAAAGCTATTATGAATGGGGTTCTCTGCCTCCCTTGTTTGCCTGTACTATCTGTTCACCTGCTTCTGTGGATGAAATTGAAGGGTGGAGGAGAGAAGTTAGGAGGAGGAGAAAGAATACAGTACTGGTTTGATGATGGATTTGTAGCAGAAGAGATGTTCTGAATTCCTCTCATTGCTTTGTATGCAACAGGCAGCTCTAGAGATTATGTATGTAACATACTGTTAGACCATAAGGCTCTTCCATTCAGATTGATTACTATGGTACTTTCCCAGTTTGTTGAAAAGAATTTAAACAACCTGTAAAAAATGGTTACCTCCATCCCTCTGTTTATAGCCACTTTACCCATTTTCACAGCTATTGGGGCCTTTTAAAGGAAAAGAAAAGACACTTGTGAGTAATTAGAAGCACACAATCTGATATTATTCCTTTCAGATATCTAGCTGCTGTCAGAGTCCAGTATAGAATAGATGCCTTCAAGTATTTTATTCAAGGATAGCATGGGGAATCTCTGATTGCTGACAACTGGATAAACTACCCATCATAAACTCAATACTGACCAGACTGGCTGGGGCTAATGGGAAATGGAACCCAACAAGCAGCAGTGGGTCACCGGCTCCCCAGACCAATCTGAAATATATGTAATACACTGAACAGTAGTTTAATTATTCAGAGAGGTGCATGAACGCTGCATGAAAAACAATGAAAGGAAGCTTTAAATAACAAAAGGGAGACATCTTGGGATGGGATACAATTTTCTAGTTACGGAAGGCATTATAGAGTGTGTATTTATAGTGAATAGTTGTCTTCTTGCAAACCTCAAAACTTGCAGTCATCTAACAGAATTACAGCTGTAGCCGAATCATTAAATGATTATCATGACATTTGTGACTGTTAGCAGGCATTTCTAAGATCTAAGAATAAATAATAAGGGGGGTTATATAGCTGTTATCAAGAAACCAACATTTTAAAATGGAAGTTGGGGTAGAAATTACTGACAACATAAAAGTCAAATTTGGATACATAAGATAAACATCAATAGCTGAAATTCTAGCATAGTAGGTGAAACTAGACCAGATCCACTGAATCAGTGAAGATTTGGTAAGTTAACTCCTCTGCATGGTCGTATGTGCTGTCAAGTCAATTCTGACGTACGATGTCCCTTTTCAGGGTTTTCTAATTAGAAAGTACAGATAGGCAGCACCCAGTGGAGGCAGGGCAGGGAAGCTTGCCCAAGGTCACATAGGCTGGCTCTACTTACAGGAGGCACAGTGGGGAATCAAACTCCCAACCTCTGCCTTCACAACCAGATACTAAACCACTAAGCTACTGCCTACTCTACTTGCAACTTATTTTAGTGTATTTATTAAGTCACAACCAGAATAAGCCCATTTGAATCAATGGAACTTAGAGGAGTTAATTCACCAAATCCCAACTGATTCAAAGTGGCCTACTCTAGTGCAACCTATCACACTAAACAACAGGATTTGACCTCATAAAAGTTAAATAACTATAAGCAAACTGCATATAATTTGAGTTCAGAATTTTGAATTCTTCGACTTTTTGCTGAGAAAATGACATTTGGTGCAGTGAACAGAATTCTGAAATGGAAAAATTAAAAACAACCAAAAGAATATTCCGTTTCTTCAAACGCTACAGGGTAAATAGAAGAATACACTGACCCGAGGAACGATCTCTTCAGCCAAGGCTAGTGCTCTTTGGTAAGCTGCATCCCCCTTCTCATTCTGAGGGACTGTATGGTTGACTAGGCCCATCGTAAATGCCTTTTCCCCATCAATCTGTCTACCAGTGAAGATTAGTTCTTTAGCTAAGCTGACTCCAATACAACGAGGAAGACGCTGAGTTCCGCCTAGACAGGGCAGGGGAAACAGTACAGTATCTTAACATGACTTTATACAAACCCACACACTGTGATTTCTATGCTGAAAAAAAATTACAAGCCTATTGTTCTGACTGACTGCTGCTGCGTTTTTCACAAACTCCTCTATAAAAATCTATTTCAGTTGAAGCCCTGTATGATTTTCTGGCCACACTAAAATTACCAGGATTTCCTTCTATGGAAGCACTTATGAACATTGTACAACTTCGCTTCAAGTGTGAAAAGAAAAAGGCTGCTGAATTTAGAGATAGGCAGAAACCTCAGTTCGGAGGTTTGTGCTGGATGGCTGGATGAGCACCAGAGGTGCCACGCCTTCCCTTCTCTCATCTCCCTGCCAGATCCCCCGCTCACCAGCTGGCCTGCCCTGCTCTTCTCCTCTTCAGGTGTTCGACCGGTTCCTCCAGCAGGGGCGTGAGCTTCCCTCCCCCCGCCTTTTCGGATGAGGGGGAAGGATTCCTGCAGTGTTGCCTTTGAATGGGTGGCCTCTGGAGCAACTGGTCAAACACCTGAAGAGGAGAAGAGCACAGCACACCAGCTGGTGAGTGGGCAATCTGGCTGGGGGATGGGAAGACCTGGCACTTCTGGTGCTTGCCCAACAATCCAGCACAAACCTCCGAATTAAGGTTCATGCCCAGCTCTATGATCACCACCTTTCCTCTGAAGCAAGGGCTCCAACCCACAACCCTGTAGCTCACTCAAGGGCAATACCTAATGTTACACTTGGTCCATTACCATGGTACGTTGCTGCCCATAGCAACTTACTCTTCTAGGAAGGATCCTGAACCTTTTTCGTAAAGCATGCCTGTTCCGCCTTCCCGCACCATGATAAAACAAGGGTTACTCTTGTTCAAGCCCCTTAGGAGAACAGAAAGGTCTTGCTACACTGTCTTTGTGGCCCTGATATTTAAACATTTCCTGTGCAAGGGTGTGGTAGAATCTAGAGTTTCCCTCCACCGTCAGAAGGTTGGAGGTTGCAATTTTTATGTAATGTCTCCTTCCCAAATATGCTTTGTGAATGTTTCTCAGGCCTATGGATTAAATGGGGAGAGCAACTACTTGGCTGTCAAATTCTGTCTTGAAGGCAATGTATCCAGAATGGGAAGCAATACAACAGATTCTCTGTATGATGTTACAGACGAAAAAGCTGGGGTGGGTGAAATTGTCCCCAGCCAAAAACAAAAAAAACAAAAAAACCTGAAGGTGGGATTATACAACCAACTAAAACAGTAGTGTTCCTTTGCTTGGGAATCTTAAGGTTAGCATCTTGCTCTTTCTGATTATCTGAGGGAGCCATTCAGTTTTTGAAATTCCATTGTTCTCCCATATTTAAGATTAGTTTGGTATCTATAAAACAGTTTACATATCACAATTTACATATTACAGATGAGAAAATATATTAATATATCTTAAAAATGGAAAACACAAGAAATTGGCTAGGAATTACATGATGTGAGCAGAACTGGAACTAGATTTTAGGACCATTGACCTGTACTAGCCCCCACTGTTGCTCTCAATGAACCATGAAATTCTTTCTGAGTGACTCACTATTTTTTTGTCTGACCACCATCACAGGACTATGGGACGAGAAGAGCCCTATATATTTCTTTCAGCTCACTGAAGAAAATGCAGGATATTCAAAGGATATTCAGTCTCAGGAGTACATACAAAAAAAGAAAAAAAAACTGTCAAAAACTAAAAGTGGGGGAAGGGAGTGCACAAAATCATGTTACCTGCACCAGGAAAGAGTCCTCTTGTTGTTTCGATGAGACCCATCTTAGCAGACGATGCTGATTTTAGAAAAAGAAAGGGGGAAAGGGGGAGAATGCTATAACAATGACAACAACAGTATACTGTCAAGTCAATTATGGCAACCCTTTCCAAGGTTTTCCAGCTACAGAGTGCTCAAAAGTGGTTTACCATTCCCTTCTTTTAGAGGTGTTCTGGGACGGGACAGTTTACGTAAAAGCTACACAGGCTGGTTCTTTTCTCATGAGAAAAGAGGGGAATCAGACTCTCAGCCTCCGACTCTGCACTGGTAACTTACTTACTTACTTACTTTATTGTTGTTACAGCATCGAGCCATATAAATAAAACAAAATTAAATGCAGAGCTTCAAGTACTGACATATACTATAAAAAGCCAAGTCAAATAAGCAAAAGACACTAAAACTAAAAATATGACAATGTAAGACCAATGTCCAAGTTTGGCTATCTATTCTGCCTACTATGGCATGTTGCCCAAAATTTCGCTACCATTTAAAATAGAAGTATAAATTGATGTGTATCTTTTATATATTCTCATGAGTCTAACATTCTGGTCCCAGATATGTTACCTAGAAGTTAAGCCTTGATGAGTATTCTAGAAATATTTAAGATTAACATTTAAGCAAATATAATTTTAGCCCCAAATTACCCTTGAAATGTATTTCTCCTGCTATAGCAGCTTACCCCAAGCTGGTACTCTAATATGTTATACTATGTGTCCCATTCTCCTGGGCCTATGCTAGCTGGGGATGATGGATGTTTTAGTCCAATACATCATGAAGGCACCAGTGTGGGGAATGTTGCTGCAAGAGAATGTTCTCTCTTAATATGAAAAGAAGGCTGACTACACAGAACTCTAAGCAAGAAATAAAAATGCAGCAAGTCTTATCATCAGAGTATATATAACCTCCATGATTATTCTCAAATGCTTTAATAGTACTACTGATTCCTTTCTTTGGTATACCAGTATTACTTAGTATTGGTATACAGTTATGCGATTTTAAAAAGCCCATAGAAATGCATTAAAACCTGTTTAATGCGTTCCTATGGGCTTAAAACTCACCTTAAAGCGAAGATCCTCCATATGGCAGCCATTTTCACTGCCTCTTATGCGAGGAATCCGTCCCTAAACACAGCAGGCAGCCATTTTTTTAAACCTGGTGGCCATTTTGGAACTGCTGATCAGCTGTTTAAAAATCATCGTTTTGCGATGATCGGTAAGCGAAACAGGGAACAGATCACCGCAAAGCAAAAAAACTGCATAGGAAACATGGCAATGTGATCGCTTTTGCGATAGCAAAAAGTTTGTCGCTATGTGGTTTCATCGCTAAACGGAGCGCCTGTTAAGCGAGGTACCACTGTACTAATTAACAAGGTACTTTTACATGTTAATGTGAAAAAAAGTATCCCATGCAGATGAATTGCTTGTGACCTACTTACCAATGTTATCCATTAAATTCCTGAGCCTTTGAACAAAATGGTCTGTTTCAGTATCACTCATCTGAGCACGCTCTTTTAGGTCTGCACCTACACTCAGAACAGGGGCAGGGATAAGTTTGGCAGTGCAGAAAAGGAATGCAATGAGTTCAACAACAGACCTTCAGACCTTTGGACTGCAGAAAAAGAATCTTAGTCAGGCTGTGTGCCCAATTCCTTCCATTTGTGTGCAAGTGTGCTCAATTCTGCATACGAGTAAACCTGGGATATTAAAGCACTAGTTTACTGAATGCAACCTGCAGGAAATGGATCACAAAGATCTGGTTTTAAGAATGCTGTTTTAATAAATTCTCATAGAATGATACACATTTTTCATTCCTTCCCTAAACCTCAACAAAAGTGGTAAAGCCCTAGTAGACACTCCCCACCTCGATTGTAGCTGTGACAGCACATGTCACAGTGTTGCTTTGTTTCTGGTATAGCTTCAGATTAGCTCAGGATGGTACTTAAATTCAAGTAACTGAAAAATCCAGGGTTTATACAATTGTTAGATTGCATTGTCTCAGGAAAATTAATGGGGATAAGCATCTGCCTATGAAGTCTAAAAAAACCAATTTTCCTAGACTTGTAAATAGTTCTGATTCAGCAACTCTGAAGGGCACCAGGTTGGGTATGTCCAGCTTATCTAGAAAAATTTAGAATAATATGTTACAAATAAATTTGTTTACCTCTAATTCATTAGAACTGGTAACAGTGAATTTAATGTTTCACATTTTAAACACTAAACAACACCAATATTAGTGTGGAATAACTATGATCCTTTATTTCATGTGTTGATTAATGGGTCATTAGCCACTGGTGGCCATTTTTAATTGCTTTAAATTATTTTTACAATTTTACAGTTTAATGTCAAGCAATATAATGAATTATTTTGATTTTTTCTTTTAAGTTATAATTTAACAGCTTAATTATTGGTTTCATTAACATGCAAAACAATGTAATCATTTCGTAAATTTTTCTTATCCTTTGAATATGAATCCATTTTTCTTTAAAGACAGAACATTAATGTGTCAGTGCTAATCAGTGGTGTTGTATACTGTATGCCTCATGTTACAACATGGGCTATGTTGTAATTAATTATTTGTGAATTCAGAGTATATGCAGGAGTAGTTGTAGAAGATATTTCACATATTTTAAAAGATTGCTGTTATAAACAAAAACTTTAGCGCATAAGAGGATTAAAGTTAGAATGTAGCTAGAACATAATGCAGTTGCTGTTCCACGCTAGTAAATTTACTTTCAAAGCAGAGAATTAGGTCTTGTCTCTGAACAAAGCAGCTTCTACTTTCAATTAAATCTGTGTTTGATGTACTTATACCTGGCTGGATAGCTCCATGAGTTAGGGATCTGGCTCCACAACCAGAGGCTGGGAGTTCAGTTCCCCACTACTCATCCCAGAACAGCCAGCATGTGTGGCCTTGGGCAAGCTGCACAGTCCCAAGGTGTCCCCAGAATGAAACGGTAAACCTCTTCTGGGCACTCTGTACCTAAAACACCCTGAAAAGGGTCACGAGAAGTCAGAATTGGCTAGATGGCACACAATTATTATTATTGATGTACTTATAGGGTTAGAATGGTAGTGGTGGGCTGCTGTAGCCCTTCAGATGTTGTCAGACTGCCATCTGAGATTTATAATCTGACAACATCTGGAAGGTCACAGTTGCACATTTCTAGGTTTGAGAGCCATATTCTGAAATTAATTTTCAATATAAAACAATGTCCCCAAATGCATCTGTATAACAAGCACCCAAAGTGTAAAAGACTTGCATGGAATTGTGAGCAACAGCAAAGTGTAAAAGACTTGCATGGAATTGTGAGCAACAGCAAAGTGTAAAAGACTTGCATGGAATTGTGAGCAACAGCAAAGTGTAAAAGACTTGCATGGAATTGTGAGCAACAGCAAAGTGTAAAAGACTTGCATGGAATTGTGAGCAACAGCAAAGTGTAAAAGACTTGCATGGAATTGTGAGCAACAGCAAAGTGTAAAAGACTTGCATGGAATTGTGAGCAACAGCAAAGTGTAAAAGACTTGCATTCATGCAACTCAGAATGCAACAGATAATGTCTACTGAGATTTCTTAATTTACGGCAATTTGCTTCCAAAAGTTATGTTGTTGGTATAACTGCACAACAAGATTTTAGCCAGTATCAAAGAAAAGTGGTAAATCTATCACAAAGCTCCTCAACCATATGCTGTCTCTATATCTAGTAATTAGAGATGGGAATACTGTACTGTATTCATATTTGTATACAAATACGAATATCCCCATTGCAGCTGGTACTAATGACATAACAACAGTCCCGCACAACCTGCCAATGGTTCCTGGAGTTGTGCTCTCCTCCTGCTCAGCTGGCCACTCCAGGCAGGGGGTGAGAGGACAAGTCGGAGCTCCAAGCACCACTGGCAGGACGAGTGGGACCGTCACTGCAGCAGGATGTGTGAGTGAATGGTCCAGTCCCAGGGGCCAGACCCTCATTAGGGCCAGCTGCAATGAGGACATTCGTATTCATATATGAATATCCCCTTTTCTATTAGTAATACTACACATAGTTCATCTTGTGATTCTCAGTTTGGAAGTAACAATTTTTGAAATGAAAACACACAAAAAAGAACAAGTGCAAGAAGTATATTTTATTAATGAAAATAAGCAAGAATGCAAGTTAACGATATATATATATTGGCTTTAATTTTATTTTCTACTTCCATTTGTATTTTTTTCCTGGTTTTTGATCATCTTCAGTCAGAAAATGCCTTACCCACCTGCACAAAATACGCCTTCTACATTGCTCCTGACTATTACTACGCGGACACTGTCATCAAAACGGAGAACATCAAGGGTTTCATACAGCTATGGAAAGAGTGTAAATTTAAAGTTCAATTAATGGAAAACTGTATGAGGGCCACAGTTTTATTATGTGACTGTACATACAAGAAAACAGGCCAGTTTTTCAGCATGTTGGTAGACTATATACCCCAACTTTATTCTGTGCTTACTATATAAATATGTAACTCCTGTGGCAAACTATTTAGCTGTAATTATGAAACTCACTGTTGCCGTAGATCTTTTCTTTACCTAATTCCCCAGGTATTATGTCTTACTTGTTGACTATGTTTTTTCACATTGCAATTCTTTTCCCCTTGTGTCTTACTTTCTTGTCCACATTTTTAATGCCAATAAAGGTTTACTGTACTATGTAACTCCTGTGTTACACATCAAAGTTCAAAATCTGCAGCTCTATTAAGCTTTCAGTAGACAATCTGACTGAAAATGGAGCACATCATGATGCATTTATCAATAGTAACTAGGAAATGGAAGGTTTGAACAAGATATTCACTTACTTCCTCAACAAGCACTCTTCCCAATGAATTTCTGGCATGTGGCCTATTCATTAGAATTTCTGCAATACCTGTACTCAAAATAAATAAGTAAGTAAATAAGTAAATA